AAGTATTTGTTTGGATTTATGGATTCCATGTAAGAAGAGAAGTTTACAGAGACGGATTTAAGGGGGGGCTGGGCTGGGCTGTAGCCCCCCCTCAGGCCCAAGAGTTTTTTTTAAGGTATTTTTTTATTTTTTTTGGGTAAAAAACCAATTTTTTATGTGTAAAAATTTTTTTCCCACGTAGTAGCCTGGTTTGAAATTTTATAGCCCAATCTTGGATTCAATCCTGGATCCGTCCCTGGAAGCTTAGCTTGTTTTCCTATCATATATTGTTCACAAGAACCAATATCACCAAAATTTTGATTTCCAAACACTTCTTTATTTTGTAAAGCTTTTATACTTTTCTTGCTAATATGGTTTAAGTCTTTCATGTCATAATTTTGCAGAGGTAAAATTTTCAGTTAAAGCAGCTGCGGTCAAGCTAAGTAAAAGTTCTGCTTTAAGAAGATAAAGACCATGTATCTTGGGGGTACTAATGATTAAGTCATTGGCCCTAAGAATTTTTATGTCCTTGACCCAGTTTAATGTCAAACTTCATATCATTTAACATTCCTAGATGCACCAGATTCCTTTCTAAGTTGGAATATACTTAGTTCCTTTCAAAAATAAGATACTACCATTTTTAAGTAATAGTTTTATGGTTCCTACTCCACTTACTTTGCAGGTCATATTATTACGCAGTATAACTTGCTCACCAATTGCCTTTGCAAATTCAAGAAAACTATTCTTATTTGGGTATATGTAGAAAGAACACCTTGAGTCAAGGATCCACTTATCACTTAGCTTCTTTTCAACATTAACAAGGACTAACCCATCTTCAGCCTTGTCTTTATTGTAGACTAAGGTAGCATTCCCATCATCAACTTTCTTTTCTTTTGATTCATTTTTCTTTTCATAACCATCTTTAATAAAATTACCTTGATTCCCATAGTTGAAACATTTCGTACCCTTAGCCATGTTTTTGGATTTACATTTATCACTCCATTTGTTTTAATTTTCATTAAAGGTCTTAGAGTAATAATTAGGTTTACCAAAACCCTTTCCTCTCATCAATAGAGTATCACCATTGTGATTCTCCTCAGTCTCAGATTTAATTTCTCGTGCTTTATTTCTTGGGCATTTATAATAAAATCGGTAGCAAGTTCAGCCCTCCCATATTATAACGCAACCTTGATGTCTCTATATTTTATCACTAATGGAGTTCAACACTAATATTTTCCATTTTTCCAATAGCATTAATCTTATTGAGCCATGGTCTTCCCAAGATGGCATTGTAGGTCATCGAAGCATGAACGACTTGGAAAGATGTGATCTTTGTCACCATTTTTTTATCAGAACCCAAGGTTAGAGGAAACTTGACGACCCCTTTGGGATGATGACACTACCACAAAATCCTCGATGGTTAGATGGAATTTCTTATCGAGGACTCAAATATGTTGCCTTTTTATCCTTGGCCCTTTCATAGGTCGAGCCAATTTTCTTCGAAATCAATGTTTTATACATGTTAATGTATTTTTTACCTTGGGTTAGGAACTTAATCGCTTACTTTTGTAGATTTTTTGATAAGGACATTTTGAATGTCTCACTCCTTATGGCATATGTGAGGGCAGAAACAGCTGCTATAATAGGTAGGTTGGGTAATTGGAGCCTTTCTTTGTCCTTGGTGAAGTTGCATGGGAGAAGCTATCATTTTCTAGATATGTTTACTATTTGCGAAGAAGGCAAAGAACTTAATGGCTAAATCTAGAAATGAGACTATGGATTTGGGCTCTAAGGTCGAGAACCAATCCTTGGCAGCATTAGTCCAAGTTTGTGAAAAAGTCTTACAGATCACTTGGTCCAGTGTAACTTACAAATTCATGACGTCAGTATACACATTGAGATGGTTGATCGGGTTGGTTGTCCCATCACACTCTTCTATACGAGGGTACTTGAATCTATCCGTAATGGGTATGATAATGTCTCGAGAATCAATGGAGTAAAACCTATTCATCCCTTAGTATTCTGAGTAGGCCATCCATAATCCTTTCTTAATGATCTTAGCAAGTTTACTATATTCCATGGTTAATGATCTCGAGGGCTAGGCCACATAAGGTACATCTGAGGCCCTGGTTCAATCGACATTGGGAACAAGGCATGGAGCCCAAGCTGGATCATTGGCCATAAAACACTCTTGGTGCGCTGGTGTAGGTGATGGATGTGAATTTCTTTGAATTAGCAGTCGAGTTAGCATGACAACCTATTGACGGAGCTCTTCAAAGGCTCTAGCGGTAATAACTGTTGGCTGGGGATCTATTATTTTAGATGATTTTTCCTGAAGAACAGGGAAATCTTCAGGATGATGAGGGTTTGGAACGGATGAGCTTGCTGTAGGAAGATCTGAATGTATGTTAACCACGGCTTTTGGTATTGTTTCCCACAACGGCACCAATGAGGCTACCAAAAATCATACCTATTAATTTTCGAACTTAACTAAGAACGAGCACGAACAAGATTTTTTGGTACTTGAAACAAAGGCGTTGAGATGTGTCATTATTGCTCTTCCAATGCTTAAGTTAGAGAGAGAATTATGATTGAGATTATAGACTGGTAATTATGAAAAAGCATACCTGAATATTGAATTAAATGTCTATATTTATAGAGGTAGGTAGTTATACTCCTAGTAGCACTAAATCAGTTAGATATCTTTATCTCAAAGAGTCTTACTTGAGAGGGATGTTGGACTTGTACTATAATTGCAAGCCAATTATAACTTGATGGTAACATATTTAAGATAGAGTCTTGCTAAGCACAGCAGACTTGGATTGAGGTATTTAAATAGGGCTAAGATCCTATGGACTTAGGAATCTTCTAGGTTAAGTGAAATGGTCTTTGGTTTGATCGAACGAAAGGCTCGAGGACATCATGTCTTTGCGTAGTTCACATAACCCGAGGATGCTAATCATAAAACATCGTAATCATGCAATATCTAATGCTCGGGCATATGTTGTACTTGAGGACCATGTCATATCCTGAACTTGGTGGCTAGGGAATGGAATTATGAAAAAGGTCATTTCGAATCCTTGGGATTGGAAAGGACAGGACCTACGACCATTGACCCTATCATGGAATATTCAAACCTTTTTTTTTTTTCTTTTTTTTTTTGCTTTAAACTAGTTACGTTTTCTCAAAAAAGTTCACAAAACTAATCAAAATTAATGAATGAAGAATAATTTATAATGTAATGTGATGTAGGATTTAAGATTCAAAACTATTAATTGCTTGTTTGGTACAGATTTTAAGCTAATTAAAATCAATTTTTTTTATCGTTATTTCACTATTCCAGTCATCTACTATAACGTCAAATTTGATATTTCAATGGTTAAGAAGTAATACACTTATATTTTTTTAGTGCAATTTTCACATCATCATATCAAGAAAATGCTACGAAATAATAATAATATTATTATTTTGGTTAATAAATCTATTATCCATTGTTTAATTACTAGATTCACGGGTAGCTTTTTCAACAAGACAACCATCAAATTTTAGCATTAATTGTGCATTAAATGCATACAAAAAGGTAATTACAAGGGTAAATTGGAGTTTTTGCACAAAAAATGACATTAAATTTTGAAAAAGTGACAAGTTTTTGGTCTATTTTCATATTAGTGAAATCTTCCAAAAATCTTTTCAAAATTAGTTGTTAACTTTGACTTTCATAAAAATTTAGATTTAAATTCCGATCAAATAGGGGGCTAATGTTATTACTTCGTGCAGTTCTATGGCATATAATGTTCCATGAGGACACAAGAAAGGGTGGCATGTTCATGGTCAAAATGATGGCACTATAAGTTGAGAATAAGCTTCATCATAATTGTATAGCATAGGTGAAGCTCTATTTAATAAAACTCCTTAAAATTTCACATAGGCAAAATTGAATTTTTAGATCGATGCCTCACAATTGAACCAAAACACTTGAGGATGATTGAATTATTAAAGAGCCAAAAGTAACATAAGGCACCAACGAGCCGTTTGATTGCAAGAATGGAATTTGAGTGGAAAGAAAATAAATTTCAGAGAATTGAATTGTCTAGAACTTGTTTTACTGTGAATTGTCAATTAAATGTGTTTAATTTGTATAATTTTTTACCCAGAAAATTTTGAAATTTTGGATCTTTTGATTTTGTTTTCTATGAAAATTATCAATTAAAGAGATCGAATTTGTTTCAACTGCCAAGAAAAAAGCTGGAAAAACAAAAACAACAAAAACCACAAGACCTAGGGAAAACATTTCCTCGAAAAGGTGGAAAAATGTGGAAAATGGGGTGTGCCAAGAAAACCAATTGCCAAGTAAATTTGGCCTGTCAAACATGTAAAAAGGTGAAAATGGAATTTAATTTTCTACTTCCATGAAAAATTTGTTGTATCAAACGGGCCTAAATGTAAACGGCTATCTCCTCCAAGAGAAGAGCACAAACATTTTGTTGACCAGATAGCAGTATAAGAGATGCTCCATGTGGCGAAAGAAATTATAAGAACATGTGAGAAAAATAATTTAGTACCTTTTTGGATCCGTTAAAAACAAACTGATTTATTTTTCATACTCATTTTGAGCCATATATTCACAAAATAAAATATTATGCACAACATTTTTTAACTTTTTAACCACACATTATCCAAAAAATTACTATTTAAAATATTATTTTTACGACAATAATGACCATCAAACAAGGGGTTAAGAAAATCTCGTGAAAGTGGAAAAAAAAAAATAAAAACTTTATATATATTTTTCATTTATTTTGTCCCTTAGCAACGTCAGTTAATTGATATACTACTAAAACTTTGCTCCATCTTTGTTAGAAGGTACGTGGAGCTCAAAAATCAAATCTCAATATTATATAGTCCATTGCTAAAACGTTAGAAAATACGAAAATACAGTTAGTTTGATTTCTTTTCACTAGTATACGAATCCAAATGAATTTTTAACCATCATTTAAAAAATAAAATGAACAAATCTTATAAGATTCTTAAAAAATTCTTCAATTTCTTCCGGAATTCACGTTTGTACGTGTATGTAGCACATGTGAATGCTAAGATACCCACCATTACATTATTGAAAGAAAGATTTTATTGACATGATTTACATTATTGAAAGAAAGATAATCGTTTCAAAAGTTCGGTAGGAAGAAAAAACCCAAGTAATCCAAACTAGGATATCAACTTTAATCACGGATAGGAGAAATTGGCCTTAACTTTTAAATTTTCCAAGCAACACTAGAATCTTCACTAGATAAAGACCAAATTTCTGGTTCTTTCCTAACCCAACAACTCACCATTTCGTTCTTTCTGAGAGTTGTAGAAAGAACCATGGGTGGTGGCACTAGTGACTAACGACGCTTCTCTTTTCTTGCTATCTTCATACTTTCCGGCCAGAGAATCAAATAGTATTCCTGCACCAATGCCAACAGCCAGGTCGATTGTGTAATGACCTCGCGTACTCAACAATCTTATCACTTGTAAAACATTTAGAATGTCAAATGTATAAGACAATTCCCATCTTTTCATTCGTTTCATATCCAGAGATGCAATAATCGATGCAGCCACATGCCCCGAATAAAACAAGAAAAATGAAACATTTCCAATCGGAAAATCCGCACCCGAACCCAAGAATCCCTGTCAAGAAACAAGCAAAACAAACAAAAATTTCGTTTCAGCTTTCACCACGTTGTAGCTGTTATGAACAATTAGATCTTTCAATCCTATTCCATTTTCTCATTTCTTTTTGTTTCTTCAAACCTATTTAATGTGACGTATCTGCAGATAAAACTATAATATAATTAGCAGTAATTATCTAAGCATGGGAAGGTGTAACAGTGGCCATAAAAATATTTTTATTATCATTAATTATTGGAATTTTGCTATTTATGAACAACCC